CCCCCTGCAGAAGAATAATCACAATATAAGACTTTTCAGAGGGGTGTGTCTTTTCTCTCCAACTAAAGTCAAGTTTCCTGGGGACACAAGCTGCATCTTTCACTGTTTTGCACCCTTAAGTCCCCAACCCAGGGCTGGAACACGTAGCGAGTGCTCAATGAATCTCTGATACCTGAGTCCTGGGATATCCAACAGGTTGGTCATCCCAGTCCAGTTGATGTCTAGAGTCTGGAAGGAAGGAGCAGGGAGGTCAGGAGGGATCCTATGGGACATGATCACACACTTCCAACACTTGTCAGACCCCTTAGTCTTCTTGTGCGTTCCTTCTCATTTCCCATAGCTGGCTACCCTTACCCCCAGACCTCTGTTTTCCCTGCTTCTCCATCCCCCCTTCAGTGTGTTCCTTACCGGGCGTCGGATGAAGAACATCGACACGGCCCCCACAATCGGAAGGTCTCCCATGAGCGGCTCAAGAATCACCCGCAAGATGCCATGCAGCTGCAATGAGAGAGAATCAATGCCTTTCCTCAGAAAAGACCCTCTGTCCTCCTCCCACACTTCCCCATGGCCCACGGAACTTAGGGCAGACTCCCCATTATGCAGGCCACTGCTATCTAGCCCACCTGCATGCCCTTGACTCCTGCCTTGCAGAAATATTTCTTCACTTCCACATCAATCTGCAGGTCACCTACATAGCTGGAGTTTGGTAAGGAAGAGAACAAAGGGGTATTAGGCTGCAGTGGGAGCAAAACATCTGAGAGGGAGCAGGACACATGGAAGGGGAAGCAGGAAGAGGGTGAGGAGTGCTACCTGATGTTCAAGTCCAGTAGGATCTGCTCTTTTTTCTGACCAGGGTGAACCTTGACTCCTATGATGCGCAATGGCTGGAGAGAGATGAATTCTTAAGGGAGCGAGGAGCAGGGAGGCATTCCTCAGTCCCCTCTGGGACATCCACCCTGTCCCATCCCCTTCCTTTCATTACTTTCCCTTCTTACCCACATACCTTTTCACCCAGTTCCACACGTGTAAATGTGAATGTTTGCAGATGGGGGTTAGATCCCCGAACAGCTGGGGCCACAGTTTCAGCCAGTAGCTTCTCCATGTACTGGCCCAGGAAGGGCCAGACCTGGGCCACGATCTAGGAGGAAAGAGAGACAGTCATAGGAGAGTCCCATCTTCTCAAGGCAAGTTCCTTCATATCCTCCCCACAGAGGGCACTGGGGAACTGGGCTGGGCCTCGAACTGAGCTGTGGTGGGGTCTGGCAAGAGGAACCAACTCTTCTCCCCGTCACAAAAAATAAAAATCACAACAAGTCTCACCTTATTTAGCCATTCAGCCTTTTCCACGTCTGGGAAGCTGACCTGGAGGTGGAGAAGGCAGAGACAGTGATGAGCGTGCCATCTGCCCGTGGTTGCCCACAAGATGCCAGCAGGATGCCCACAAAGGAGCATGTGAGTGTGACAGGGGCTGGGGGTGGGGCAAAGGGTTATACCTCACCAAGTTTGGGGGCTGAGGTCTCTGATAAGGGGAGCAGGCAGAGTGTAAACCACACAAAGTTGTTTCGTGGATAGCTCACGGGAACTGACAGCTGCTGAGTTAGAGAGGAGGGAGGAGGATGGGGACATTCTTTCTGGAGGGGGAGGTCCTGTCAAATGGAGATCCAGGGAATCCTGGGATTGAGGAAGTTCTGGCGCCTTGTTCTAGCTTTCCTTCTATAGGACTAGGGCTTCTATACCAAGAAGGTGAAGAGAGAAGCAAATCCTTGAGTCAGAGAGGGGCCAGAAAAGCTATTTAGGCCCTGGCTGTTCTTTCTCTTTCCTTCTTTCTCTCTCTTTTTTTCTTTCCTCCTCTTTCTCACACACTCTTTTTTTCTCATTCTCTCTTTCAGTGTGACTCCTTTTATGGGAAGGAAGGACACCTGTACTTCGTGTGGGGCGTGGGAAGACTAGTTTCCAGGTGAAGGAGTAGAAGGAGCAGACACTTGATGCCTGGCCTACAGGTCCCCTAGAAGCTTTTCTTCCCTTTCTCTGCCCCAGTCCAGGGCCTCCACGGGAAAGCACAGCTGTCTACCTGCAGTCAATATTGATTCCTTTCTTCTGCCATTCTCCCCCTATTGGCACCTTTGCTGGGAGGGGGAGGGAGGGAGGGGCCGAGTAACGGGCTCTGCCTCTGCAAAGCCAGAGAAATGGCATGCTCTCACCACCGGAGATGAGATGAGGCGCAGATAGAAGGGTCTCGGTCCCAACCGAGCAAGCGCAGCCCACAGTCCGGAAAAGGGTGGGGCCGGCTAGGGGCGGTAGCGTGTGGGCAGCTGGCGCTGCAGCAACCGCACTACTCTCCTCCCAGCACCCCCGCCCTTTGTTCAGCGGTCGTCTCCACTGCGCTGCAGCCCGGCCGGCCGCTGGAGACTGGAAGGCGATGGCCGGAGGGTCAGTCCAGGTGCCCTGGCTCAGTTGTGCAGTGCTCCCGGGGCTTGATCCCAGCGGGTACCCGGGATAAGAGCGGGAAAAGGGAGAACTGCATGACCTTAAGTAGGGGAAAAGTCTTGAGGGTATTATGAGAGATGAGGGAGTCCTCTGAGTGGTAACAGAGACAGTGATGCCCAGGAGTAGAAACCGCGAAGTGGCACCAGAAGCCAGAGGAGGGGAATTCAAGATGTCTTGGCTAGTAAGAAGAGACTCGGCTGAGACGGGGTCCCCAGATGGTGTTACTGCTGTTGCCCAAGAGTAGAGAAAGTCCTGATTCTGTGGAAGGATGATCCGAACTGCTCGTGTGGAATGGATGGGGAGAGTGGGTAGTCGGTCCTAAGAGGCGCATCCCAGCACGCAGGGGGCTAGCAGGGTGCAAGGGGAAAGTCTGGGGCCGAGATAAGGTGGGAGGGAGAGCTCCGGAACTAAGGGGCTGAAAGAAAGCTAGGCTGCACCGAGGGCTGAGGGTGGTCACTCACCCAGGCAGGTAGCTCTCGATGGCTCATATACAGTGTTTCTGCCGTGAGTCGCTCCTCGTTGTCCAGCAGCTGCCTCGCTGCTCGAAGGCTCCGTTCTTTCTCGTCGCGGACCCGGCGCCAGCCCAGGTAGAGGGCGAGGCCGAAGAGCACGAAACCCACGCTGAGTCCCGCTGCCCCGGCCAGGTACACCGGCACCAACACCAACAACCGCCGCCCGAAAGAAATCAGCACCGCCAGGGCCTCACCCGCTGCGCCTGGGCTGGCAGGTGGGCCCGCAGAACCTGGGTCCGGCTTTGTGTGAGCAGCTGGGGACTGGTCAGGAGGGTCGGAGGGAGCCGAGGGCTGGTCAGTGGGGCTGGGGTTGGAGCCCTCTCCAGGAGAGTGCTCCATGGTGCCACCTCTGGGAGGACCCGCGCGACAGAGACCAGCTGGAGGTCGCCTAGTCTTGCCGCCAGCACCAGGGGTAAACCGTGATCCCGGGAACCTAGGAGGGGACTTCAAGCCACGCCCCCCCCAGCTGAAGGTTTGGGTTGGTCCGCGCCGCATAGACCGAGGTGGAGTCAAAAGGTTGAAACCCCGCCCCTCTCCCGCGGGGATAGGAGAGGGCTTCGGATAGGCGGGACCTCCCTGATTGGAGCAGAGTGCCAAGATGGGAGGTCTGGGATGGCGGGAAAAGGAGGAAAGGGGCTAATGGGCAGCATCTAATTGGTTATAAAAAGGAGAAGGAGTGGCGTACCACTTAAAGAGAGGCGGGACCAAACGCTCCCCTCACGTGCGATTGGAGTGCCTGAGGTATAACGTCATAGTGAGCCGCACCGCCGATTACTCGGATTTAGACGGAGTTGAAGTTGCGAAATTGAGGGGTTGTGGAGGGTCGGGACTTCTTCCACCCATCCAAGACCGTTTGGCAGGATTTGATTTGGGATTCCTGTATGTCCATTTGTCAGTTTTTCTTCATTTTTATACTTCGAGTACATTGCTTATCCTTTATTCCCCCCCCCCGCCCTCACCGCTGCTCATTGAAAGGAAAGAAAATGGTCCTATTTTGAATGAAATTCTTGATGACCTACCCTATCTCCTCCCAATCTACTATATCTTTTCTGTGCCTCTTAACGACTGATGTTAGAGAAAACTGGAAATTAGAGAATTACAGACAAGAATCCAGCTTTAGGGGAAAGGGAAAAAAAAAAGGTGGAGTGAATTAGGAAGTGAGGCTTTATTTTTGGAAATCTAGAATTAGGTGGTTATCTCTATCATAAAGCCTAGATTAAGACTCACCTTCGAGTTGGTAGGTGGCGTGGTGGTTAAGGTCACTGGACTCTCACATGGCTGACTGTGGTTTGAGTCTTAGACTTGGTGGCTTGCTTTTTTTTTCTCTCTTGCTCTGTCCCTCTCTGGTCAAATTAAAATAAATAAGAAAGTTAAATAAAATAATAATTTTTTTTTAAAAAAGACTTTCCTGACCACAATTATTTCTAGGACACTAATCGGGTGATGAGAAGGTTTTCTCATTTATCCGAGTCAGAAGAAAGATTTGGATTATAGTCAGCTGTAGAACTAATACGGTTCCATGCTGTAGTATATATGGACCTTATTGTGTTATTCTGAGGAATCATTGTTGACAGTTGTGGAGAAACTAGATCTGCAGCTGATATAGTTTATCTGGATTTCCAGGACATGGATTTCATCAGACTGTGAGGAATCAAAAGCTGTTTTAAGCCTGTCCCTGCCAGCCTCCATCTTTTTTTTTTTTTTTCTTTGCCACAGGGCACACGCACTTGGCACTTGCCGGGGAGACACAGACAGAGAGGGAATGTGAGAAGTCACTCCCCGGGGGTAGGGGGAGAAGGCCACACAGCAATTCCTTCTCCATTCTTCCCTTGGGATTTTGGGCACACATGCACATGTATTGGGCGTGACTCTCAAGCCACCAGGTCTGGAACTGCAGTCGGCCATGTAGGAGTCCAGCACCTGAACCATCTTGCCACCTGCTGGCCCCTGGCCCTTAATCTTAATTTTTCTCACTTCCCTTTCTCTACTTCCCTGAGGGTTCAGCATCAAGATTCAGTTTGCAAAATTGTATAAGGAACAGTTTTTTTCTCTGTCCCTTACATCCTCCATAATTCCAGAAATGAGCAGATAGAAGACAGAAATGAGTGAACTGCTTGCCAACTGATGAAGTAGAACTACAAATAAAAAAGGATGAAATTCCTTAAACAGAAACCTCTCTATAAACTGAAATTTGCGAGGTCCTGGAGTGTAGGAGAGGGAGTTACTGAACTTGGGAGAATGAAGTCGGTGACCTATGGAGGCTCCTCTCCAAACTTCCCTTTTCTTCATATCATGCAGATCATCAGGCCTATTTTAAGCCGTTATATGGGGGAATGAAACCTCATCTTCAAGATCTTGTCCCAGCTAAGGACCAGGAGCCTTAGGCACAGCAGCTGCAATGCAGTTACCAGCAAAAGTAAACAGGGTGGGTCTCCGCCCATTGACAATCCTGTTCTCTAGGTGCCACCTGGTGGTTATAAGCAGTAAATAAGCAACAGGAAGAGATGGTCATTTGTTAGAGGAAATATCTTAAAGGGTGGGGCCTAAGTGAGAACAGAGAGTACCTAGACTCCTAGACTTGCAATCTCCTCCTAGAGAAGAGAGAGGATCAGAGGTGGCGCTCTGGCTTCAGTCCACCCATGAAGACGGAACGGGCAACAGGGCGTGAGTGTTTCTTCTGTATCATTGATTCCTGAAAAAGTTACTGCCAAGCAGTAGTCCCAATTGTTGGATGGCTCTGTCTTTAGAACTTTCTTATGGCAAGTCTGGAGTCAGACTGCCTGAATAGATTCCTCTTTCCTAATTGTAGAACCTGGGCAGGTTACTTTTTAAGCTTGTTTTCACTTCTGCAAAATGGGTAATAGTACTCATTAGGTCGATGAGATATTGGATGTAAAGAACTAGCACAGTGCCTTGGTTTACACTTAGTAGTCAATAAATGTTACCTATTAGTGAAGAACTCCGTTTCTTTTCTGTGAAGCAATGCAAGATTTTTCACTGTTCAGCAGCCCCTTCAAACATCTGAAAACAACTATTGGATTTCCTCTTGACTTTCTCTTGCCAGTTACTTCCCTCCAGCTACCTCAATGGCCTTCATTCAAAATTACATTTAGAAGAACCTACAAACTTAGGAGTGGTTCCACTTACAGAAAACATAGTGGAACTGCTACATCTACAATACATTAGGACTGAATTTCTACCGCCTCTTTTCTTTTTTAAAGAGAGATTTTTGCTATAGGGCATGCGTGCTTGCCAGAGAGACAGAGACAGAAAGTGAGAAATCACCTGGGGGAGGGGGTGGCCATGCTGCAATCCCTTCTCCTCCATCACCTCTCAGGATTTTGGGCGCACACATACAGCTGGTAAGAGTTTTAAGCTATCAGGTCTGGAACTCAGATGGTGGTTGACTACATGGGAATCCAGTGATGTAACCACTGGTCTCTCTAGTACTCTTATAGAACTACTAGGAACCTAATGGCTCATAATATGTAAGATTTCACTTGATAGTTAGATTTAAATTTTTACAACCAACTGAAAGCGCAGAAATTCATGTGAATTTTTGCTAACATAGTTCTGCACTGTTCTTCAGACAAGCTCAAGGCAGTTCTATTTGGCCATGCCACAGTCACTTTTCCTTCATTCTCCTCCCAGAATCTTGGGCACGTGCACAAACATGCCAACATGAGTTTCAAGCCACCACATTTGGGACTTGAACTGCGGTTGGCCATGTGGGAGTCCAGTGACATAACCACTACACCATCTGCTGGCCCCTTGTTTTGTTGTTGTTTTTAGTTTGCTACAGGGTGAGTGCACTCACCAGAGTGAGACAGAGAGGGAGGGAAAGTGAGAAATCACCCCAGGGAGTGGGGTCACACCACATTTCATTCTCCTTTTCTCTTCTTGAGATTTTTGGGTATACATGCACATATGCCTGGTGTGTTTTTCAAGTCTTTAGATCCAGGACTTGAACTGTAAAGTTGGCTGTGTGGAATCAAGCTACCTTAACCTCTACACCACTTGGTGGCCCTGTTTTGTTTAGAGATTTTTGCTACAGGGTCTCTCATATCAGTGGAGACAAGAGACACAGAAAGCGAGAAATCACCACCACCACCCCCCCCGCCCCATGGGGGTGGCCATGCTGTAATCCCTTCGTTCTCTTTATCAGGATTTTGAGTATGCATGCACACACACCCAGCATGAATTTTAAGCTGCTGAATCAGGACTCGAACTTTGGTAGACTATGTGGAAGTCCAGCAACATAACCATTATGCCATCTGCTGGTCCTGGCCCTATTTGTTTTTATCTGCAATGACTTAGCAGGTGATAGAGAGCAAAGCAACTCCTGACATCTGGACACTGGCCTGACACAGCCAGGATTCCGAGTTGTTAGGGCTGCCCTGGTGCTCAGTGTTAACTAGTGAGTTCTACTAGACAAAATTCATGAAACACCAGCATCAGACAAGGTCACTCAGTGACTGATGAAGTGAGACAAAAAACAAGATCACTTCACAATTTTAAGCCAAAACAAGATCAATGCGCAAATCACAAAACAGCAAACATCATCCCCTTTGCCCAGTGACTGCTCCTTCATCACCGACTGCACCTTCAGCTTCTCTCTATTCTGCCTTTCCCTAGGCAAGACTGACATTCAATTGGACAATCAGCCTGCTTTCCTTGACAACACCCAATCCAGATGAACACCCACCCATTCCCCCAAACCTCCCCCAAAATCACTAAAATTCAAGTCCTCTAGGTCCTTTCTCTCTTGCTAAGACACTAAAATTCTCAACAGTGTGCTCTCCCTCTCACTGCAATGACCATGATGTTCAACTTGTTCCAGTACAGGTATACTCCTGGTGCTTTAGCTAGAATACATTAACACAGGATGTGTTAAAGGATGTCTACCTTAGCAGGTACTTGGAAAGAAGGAAATAAAATTAGTCAGGATTTGACTGAGTACAATTTGTGTTGGTAACTATGATCACATTTTCTTCTAAATGCTCATAAAACATCTTTCAATAATCCACAATTGTGTCAGAAAGCCAACATTAAGCTTATTAATGTGTTATTTCTAAAATCCATAAGAATATTTGCCCACTTTTAATCTTGGCCCCCTCCCCCAACTTTTTAAAATGACTAGTCTTGACCTAGCCCACCATCTCCAACCCCAGGTGTAACTTGAGTGATCAACCAGACAAAAGAGGAAGAGGTAATAAGAGATGTGATGGTGGGAGTATAACCCAGGAACACTTTCTCTATCCCCGTACCCACTGTCCCATTAGACTAGACACCTGAGTTGTTTCCCCTACATCAGCAGTAAGCTGAAGGGGAAACTGAGGTCTGGCTGTTGGGGACTCTGGACTTATTGACCTTTAAGTGGATTTAAAATCTCTGGTCCTATGTGAAAACAGAGAAAAGAACAAGATAAACCCTGAGGCGTGTCCCAGTACCTCCTAAGCCTTGATGGCTTAAGGCATTGGCCACTGAAGAAGTGATGGGGTAGGAGGGATATTATTAACCATCAACAACTCAAGAGAGGCAACTACCACCTGCCCTGCTGTTTCATTAAGAGAAGATGTGTCATCTACATAATAACCCATTCCCATTTCTCAGCGCACACACCCTCCTTAGTACCTGCCCCCCTAAATGACCCTAGGAGCCCTGGTTACTAAGGCAACCTGGGAATAGCACATGCAGACAGAGACCAGAAACAGATGGACTATTTTTAAACTAGACTAGGTGGCTCCAATGCTTTCACCCACAAAGTACCTTCCCCAAAGTCCCATTTGGCCTTGTTCTGAGTCCCTACCATTCTTCATCAGCATCCATCAAACTTACCCAGGCTACACAAGGGTGGGGGGTTTTCATCCCATTTTGGTACAAGAGCTACTTACTCCTCCCATTTTCCACACAATATCTAAGCAAGTTTTCACTGCCTCAATTTGTTAAAAATAATTGTTCTTTTATTTCTTTGGAAAATAGTGGGCCCTGCCCTACAGGTTTCCAGGCCAAGCTAGGGTAATGAATGCTCCCCTAGTCTCTGGGCTGGAGTACCATGGTCCCAGCCTTCCCAGGGGCCCAGCAGTAGTTCCTGTATTGTCCAACCCAATAGGGCCCTATCAAACTCAATTTTCTGAAGGCCATCAGGCCTTCTCTCCCAGCCACTCACTTTCCAATATTTCCTGGCTTTCCCTCTGGGCAGGGTATTTTTTTCTTCCAAAACCAGTGCCGGAACCTGTGCTGTTCAGGAGAGAGGATACCACCAGGGATATCCCCAACTTCCCATAAGAGGCCACAGCCTCTCAGTCAGTCCTTCCTCTCTGCTGGCTTCACTCCTATGCAAGCCCCCGCTGTGAAGCTTGAAGGAAGATGGACAAGAAGACCCTCATAAAAGGGAGGTGAAAGCAAACACACCACCCCAACCTCTCCTCAAGACATGCTCCTCAGAAATGTACTCCTTATAGTTCTTGTCCTAGTTCTTGAGTGAGCCCTTTGGACAGGGCCTGGGAAGGCTAGGTGAGTGGATAAGGGCCCCTCAACCCCAGCCCTGCACGTTATACCAGGGGAGTGTCCATTAACCCCATCAGTGTGGCATGGCTGTGATGCGCATGCTCTGAGAAGCAATGGGGTAAGTCACCATGGGAGTGGTGGTGTGGCTCATTGTGATTCCTGCCAAGGGTTGGGCCATTGATACAGCGACAGGGGCCACAGGAGCCACAGATACAGCCACAGGAGCCATTGAGACAGGTGGGGGTGCCATTCCCTGGGCAATTGTTTGAGCCAGAGCAGCTGACAGTGGTGTGATCTCTGGGTTCAAGTGTGGGGGTGGGGGCGGTGGAGCAGCAGGAGGTGCAGCATTAGTAGGGGGAGCAGCTGGAGCTCCAGCAGGAGCTACCAGTTCTTGCTGGGACACAGGACGAGGCTGTAGAGCCTGGCTGCTGAGAGTAGTGTGAGTCTGGGCAATGCCATGGTTAAAAGTGGCAACAGTGCCCACAGTGGGAGCCAGAGTCTGCTCAGTTGCTGGTGCAGTGGAGCTCAGGGTCATGACCTTAGCCTGATTGCGGAACTGGGCATTTTGCTCCAGCAGTACCTCATTGGTGGCCAGCAGGTTGCTGACCTGCTTCTTTAGCTCTTCCACTCGCTTCCTGAGCATGGCATTCTCCTCCTCTAGCAGTCTGCACTCTACCCCTCGGGGTGGAGCCAAACTATATTCAAATGATTCAAAATGAGGGCCATCAGCAGGGCAGCATCCACCTCGCCGGCGCTTAGGGCCTGGCTCATGATCCTCAAAGCCCCTGTCAGGAAGGTCGTAGATATCGTAGAGATCATGACGTCGTCCCGGGGGTACTGAGCCTGTTGAGCACCCACCACCAGTGCCTCCGCCGCCCCGAGTATCAAACTCAAAATCCCGTTGCAGGTGACGAAACTTGCACTTGGCTCCTCTCTGACAGTCACCCTTAAGGAAGTCACGGCAGATAGGGACCTCTTCTTTGCCATTTGGTAGGTCAGCCGGTGAAAGGCCCAGGCCAGCTGCCACTTTCTGCCTCAGCCGAGGGGGAAGCTCTCCTGTTTTCTTATAGCCATCTTCGTCCTCCTTGGAGCCGTGAATGAAACGGCAGTTTGGTCGGCTACACTCCTTGTTCTGGAAGTCATGACAGAAGATGAACTCATTTTTGCTCACCCCCAAGTTGGAAACCTCGCTCATGTCTGGGTGGCGGTATCGGCAACGCTTGCCTCGCTTGCACACATTCCTCAGGAAGTCTCTACAGATGGCATCTGAGCTGGCCCCACCACTGGCTGCCCCTGTCCCACTGGCCTCCTCGCTGCCACCACCTCCAGGGCCTCCACCATTGCTCCCAGTGCCGTTGGCATAGCTGTCCCGGTCAGGCATCCTGGTCCCCCCCAAATCAGGGCTTTCTTCCTTTTCTTGCCACTCTTGGTGACCGCTAAAAAAGAAAAAAACTGTGTCAAACTGGAATCTTCTGGGAAGAAACGTCTCTTTCTGACTACAGAGCAGGCAGCCCAGCAGGGCAGTGACTTTGGAAATGGAGAACCTAAGGGATGAGAATTCTGCCTGGACTGGCTGACTCATCAGAAGTCCCGCCCAGATCTTTGTGCACCTGGTCTGGTGCACAAGAATAATTCACACTTGCCTGGCTAAAGAAGGACAAAGGGAACTGGGGTGATGCCATCTCATCTCACTAATGACGACAGGCTAAGGAAGGGACAAAGAGGTAACCTTAAAACTTTTGTTACTGGGACCAGCAGTTGGTGTAATGGCTATGTCGCTGGACTCCCATGTGGTCAACTACAATTCGAGTTCCGGACCTGGTAGCTTAAACTCACACTGGGCGCGTGTGCATGCGTGCCCAAGATTCCGAGAGGAGAATGGAGGAGAAGGGATTGCGGCGTGGCCATTCTCCCAGGGGGTGATTTCTTGCTTTCTGTCTCTCTGTTTCTCTCCATCTCTCTGGTGAGCACACACGCCCTGTAGCAAAAACCTCTCAAAAAAAAAATAATAAAATAAATAAAAACCTTTGTTATTGTCCTGGAAATAATGCCCAAGATGGGGTACATAGTTACTACGGCTGTAAGGATACACCAGCTATAGAGCTATACCATTATCAAAACCTCCCTCAGCCCCTCTTCCATGGGATCTCAGGTAAGGGCTCTGTTAGTATCAGATCTCTACAATCCAAGAAATCTGAACAAAAAGACTGGTGTCACAAGCCTGAGAACAATCCCTAAATCAGTCATTTTTTTAGTATTCTCTCCCAGACTTTCACTTCTCTCAACCCCAGGGAGCTTAGTGGCCTAAGCTTCTCTCGATCCCAGAGTGATTAGTGGTCTCGATTCAGGGGAAGAGTTCTAAGCTGGAATCTCCACCTCTAGATCCCCAGAAGAAAGCCATTTGTGGCAAGGTCAAGGTGGGAAGGAGTTAATTTAACGGAACAAGCAACCTTTCTTTCCTTGTTCCCCACACCAGCTTACTCCCCACCAAGATCCCACTGACATCAAACCACACCATTCCTCACCCTATAAAAATCTTTTTTATTTATAGACTCCATAAAAGCTTTTTAAGTCTCCTATTTCCCAAGAGAGCTCTGGAATGTCAGTCTACTGCCCTGGTTCTAGCCCTCCCCTCTCCACCCCCAATAAGACTAGGAGTCCCAGCTACCACGTGTCTGACCTCCTAAGCCTTTTCTAGGCAATGTTCAGGCTCCCCCTGCTGCTCAAGGAGAAAAACTTCAATATTTTCCCTGAGCCTAAGGGAACCTTTCCTGATTTCTTTGGTCTTGACCTATCCCCCCTACCCACTGCCTTCACTTTGCCTTCAGGTTTCCTCCCTGAAATGACATCAAAGGACAAGGTTACATAAGAATCTGTAGAAGGGTGGGTCCTTTTTCTCCAAAGGGAGATAACCTCAAAACAGAAACAGCTAAAGAAAGTTTAAAAGAGTAGATAACAAACTTTAAAAGGGAAATGACCAGATGAAGAACAAATGTCACCTACTCAAGCTTGACCCAAACTGCAAGACCCACCAGAAGCAGAAAATTAGATGATATTCCTTCCCACCCAGTTGTTCCAGAATTGATACCTGAGGTAGCTCAGGTGAAGTCCGGGGCTCCTGTGGGTCTCCACCTCCACATCACTGCTGGGTTCTAAACAGGGGGGAAAAAAAGAGAGACAGACTTGGGTGGGAAAAGGAGTAAAAGTGGAGGGCTATGGCGTGGTTGTCACAGAATGAAGCCTGAGAAAACAGCAGGAGTTCTGGGAACTTCAAGATTTCTTTAGGGGGTCAAACTGAACTTCTCCACTTGTCAAAGTCAGTCACCAGTAAGAAAAGTAAGGGAAAGAATTAATTAGGAGGGACTGGGACGATGGGTTGGAAAACCAGCCCTAACTGAACAAAGGCTGAGGGGCATTCTGCCTCAAGATGAAGGAAGATGTGAGGCTCGGAGCTCGGCCTACGGTTGGTGTTAGGAACGCCGAATGGCGAGCGGTACAAGGGCAGCGACTGACAGTGCAGTGGGACAGCAGATAAAACTTGGGGACGGTGATTATCACGCTTCCCAACACCCGAGTTTACGAAAAAGTCCTAGGAGTTTCGCCCGCGGCAGGTCTTCTAGCTTGCTAAGTTCCGTGCAGTGCTGCCGGCGCTCAGCCGTAGACCAGATGAACAGAACACTAAGGGCGCTCCAAGTGAAGCGGGGCGGGGGGAGCTCCAGGTGACATCAAGCTGAGGGGATGGGCAGAGCTGTGACGTCACGGAGCTGGCGTTTGCTCGCGAAGCGGGGTCAGTCAGAAAAGGGGCTCGGCCCCGGCGTGTGAGGGATAACCAGCTCGGTCTTGGGGGGCCTGTGTAGCCCGGCCGAAACCGGCCGCTGGGCCGGCCCCGACTCCTCCCCTCCGGGCGCGG